TAGATAATGAATATATATTTTTTTAGAGTTGATTTGATAATTCAGTAACCCTATAATAACTTCAACCCTAACATGCAAAGTCATTCATCCAGAAATGTTCAGGGAACAGATTTGATATTTATTTAATTGGTGAATTCTGCCCGTGCATTTTGAACAAAGCAATAACTGTGCAATCCAGTTATCAAAGATGCATCCGGTTTTCTCATGCTGTTCTAGTATTTCTGTAATACCGCATTGGCAAATGGGGTGTAGTTGTGCAAGGTAACAGGAGGTTATATTGCTCTACAAGAACTGCAATTATGTCATCTTAGGATTTCACATTCTTCTTCTGATTTTAGCAGTATTTCTGATGATCACACTGTTACAGAATTCTGCAAGGGTAAATTTGTATGGAAGCATATCCTGGACAATTTTCAAATGCATTTGCAATTGCATTTTTCATGTCTGGATGCATAAATTGTGCCATAATCCAAATGCAATTGCAAATCCCGCATTACCGTTTGCATTTCTGCTTTTGCAAATGCACATATATCAAATGAAAAGGCAAAGACCGTTTGCAAATGCATTTTCCACGTCTTACGAGCTACTGGCCTGACATATTTAAATAGCAATATTAATTGCTTCATTTGCTTTTTCTTTTTCTCTGAGTCGTGCATGTAACCTGCCAAAACTAATGGAATCGCAAATCCTTTTGCATTTGAATTTTCGACATCTACACTGAAACCTGTCAATCATACGACAGAGGAGGGCTATTTTATTGGGCGTGTTTGTATTGGGAAGTGACGTCACTCACAGTTGACGTGTTTACAGTTTTGAAAAATGGAGGTAATCTGTGAAATTGTGGGGCAAATTTTGATAATTGTGCAGCAGGTTGATAACAGCTCATGCCGTACAGATTTCCTTTTACTCAGAATCCATTTAATTTTGCACATGTTAAAGGAGGCTTTACCGAACAGCACAATCAGAGATGTGGTCTTCACCAACCTAATTGAAGTTACTGTACCGACAGGGCTTTTACGAAGAACAGAGGACCAGGACGTCCTTTAGTGGAAATACCACTAGAAATGATCCAGTACTACGTGACGTGTGGTTACTCTTGTGTCCAGCTTGCTCGGATGCTTAGAGTTTCACACCCCCCATGGTCAATATATAATGATTATAGGCTATATTAAATATTTGGAGAACTAAAGCACTGAATCTACTATTGCATAAAACTTATAAGGTCAGCCAAAGGTCTCTGATTTAGATCATGATCATTTTAAAGACTCACTTTACAAAGCATGCAAACCTTTGCAAGCAAGTCATCAGCAATTTTTATAAGGTGCAGGTTGACATTTTGATAGTTGGAGGTTTCTGCTGGTGTATTTATTTATCAAAGCATTCATTTTGCAAACATCAATGAAAGATACAAAACTGTCTTTTTTGTCACATCCTTTGGCTTGAAAATCAAGCGGTTTGTGTGGTTTGAATTGGCATGACATATCTAGGCTCTCTCTCTCTCACACACACACACACACACATATTCACATGTCAGTTACCAGGGATTTCCTTCATTAGAGGGTGTTTGTGGCAAACGCGACTGCAATAAGGGAAGTTTAAGCTGATTGAGGAAGCCATCGCTCTTTTTCTTGCCTTCCGTGCCGCTTTTCTCATGAGAAGAACACAAGGAGATAGGGAGAGGGTTTTTATCTCTTTGGCTTCAGCTAATTTGATTGACTTCATCATGGCTAGGAGTTTGTATAGGTTTCGCAGTCCTGCACTCAATGCCATGCACCACCGCAGGCGCTTCAGTGACGTGAGTAAACTTAATGTATGAAAGCTGGAGGGAAAATCAATCATAGAGTTTCTGCGTGATCATATGTACAGACTAGTGATGAGAGTATAGACGTAGTAGTAGTAGTATTGCATAGGGGTGTGATTGTGAGTTTTTGGTTTGATTTTATTTTTAAGTATTATTAATAATTATTTTAAATATTTTTGGGAATAATAAAAATCCTCCTGTCAGGACGTGGTAAAGGAGATGAATTATAATTATGTTATAGTACTTTTTAATTAAAATAATTATAAACATATATTATTATTATTATTATTATTATTATTATTATTATTATTATTATTATTATTATTGGTAGTAGTAGTTATTATTATTGGTAGTAGTAGTTATTGTTAGATTTTCTTAAGTTTTTTTGCATAATACTGTTAATTATTGAGGCGATATGTGTCATGAAATTGTTGTGGTCACACTTTACAACAAGGTTTTACTAGGTAATGTAAGTTACTGTATTTAATACCATGAACTAGGAATAAACAACATTTGGACAGCATTTATTAATCATAGTTCAACATTTACTAATGCATTGTTCGAATTCAAAGTCATGCTTGTTAATATTAGTTAATGCATTGTGAGTTAACATGAACTAACAATGAACTGCTTTATTACCATTGACATTGACAAAGATCAATAAATACTGTTATTAATTATTTGTTTATGTTAGTAAATGCATTTCTACCATTAACTAATACAACCTTGTTAAAAAGTGTTACCATTTTTTTTAAATGTCATTTATTGACCTCTGAAATCATTAGATAGATTTATTTTTTATAAATTTCACTTTTTTCTGCATCTAATGGGGCTATGAGAATCATACATGCTTGTGTAGTATCTGTACAGGGTGTGATGTGTGTGTTGTTATGCAATAGTGTAATAGGATGTCTTTCTTGAGAAAGAATTCTCACTTTTATGTTGAGAAATATCAAATTCACTGCTGTGTGCACTTGGTTAATTCATGTGTTTGTAAAATGAGTTGCATCAGAAATGTCTCATGCTCTCTCATACCATATTTGTCTTTATAAGATCTGAAAGTTTATAGACCTAAATGTGTCCATAGTTAAAGAGAAACCCAGTTAGCTCAATGTATAATTAGCAGAAGCGTTTTTTGTGTGTGTGGTTTGTGTTTTGATGAATCAGCAATTCATAGAAAGACGCAAAACTGAAGTTCCACTTTCAGTACAGAATTTATTTTTTTTTGCGTTGAAGTCATTTAAGGTACTCTGAAGTGTGTGAGTTATGCAAGTGAAAGTATGTTGGCTTTCTTGTTGAGAGAAATCAGTTCCTGGCAAGGATTTTGCAGAGTCCTACCTGACTCTGCAGTCTTATCAGCATTAAACATTAAAAAATGTACTGCATTCTGACAAACCGTTTTCTTTCTTGTATTTTCAGTAAAATGCGCATGAGCAACATTTTGGACTGTAGGTTTGCTCTGGTATGATTGCCAGGGCAATGGGATGTGTTGTATGCTAAGGTTTAAAATAGAAGATCCAAACCTTTCTCAGCAATAACTAGGAAGATATTGTATACACAAATATAAAAATTCTGGGTTGATGTAAGGCAGGGTTGAGTCAAATAAATGTTTATTTTTTAAATTACATTTTAATTATACTTTTTAACCCAATGGTTGGGTTTGTCCATATTTGGATTGCAACATTGGATTACAATAACAAACTGACAACACTACCTGACCAAAGTCATGTCAGCAATCCCAGTTGTAAGAGCAACAAATAATAACTTGACTTCAAGGTGATCATTTGGAAAAGTGGCAGAAGGTCGATATTTCCAATGATTCATCTGTTGAACTGCATCCCAATCATCACAAATACTGCAGAAGACCTTTTGGAACCTGCATGGACCCATTATTCTCACAGAAATCAGTCAAGTTTGGTGAAGGGAAAAGTAGTTTGTGTTTACATTCAGTATAGGGGTGTGTGAGAGATCTACAGAGTGGATGGCAACATCAACAGCCTGAGGTATCAAGACCTTTGTGCTGCCCGTTACATTACAAAACACAGGAGAGGGCAAATTCTTCAGCAGTATAGCGCTCCTTCTCATACTTCAGCCCCCACATCAAAGTTCCTGAAAGCAAAGAAGGTCAAGGTGCTCCAGGATTGGCCAGCCCAGTCACCTCACCAGACATGAACATTATTAAGCATGTCTGGGGTAAGATTGAGGCATTAAAAAATAATCCAAAGAATCTTGATGAACTCTGGGAGTCCTGCAAGAACGCTTTCTTTGCCATTCCAGATGACTTTATTAATAAGTTATTGCAGAGATGTATGGATTCAGTCCTCCAAGCTCATGGGAGTCATACACAGTATTAATTCTTTTTCCACTGCACCATGACTTTAAATTTTATACTGGACACTATTTCTGTTACATGACAAGACTTTTGACTAAGCAAAGTCAGACCTTACTGTCCTAATTAAAAATCAAGGCATGATCATATTTTATTTTGGTAAAATAAGCGTAATCTAGAGGCTTTTGCCTTTCATATAAGCCACTTCTGATACCAAGTGATCAACTAGAAGTCAAGTTATTATTTGATGTTCCTGTAACTTAGGTAGACAACAAGACTTTTGTCAGAGAGTGTATGGAAGTCAACAGGTGCTAGCTACTAGTATTTTTTTAAATATATTAAAGTTTTAAAACCACATAAGGGATAATAATCGGTGAGGTAACATTCATTTTGGGGTAAGCTATCCCTTTAAGGGTTTGTTCAAATGCCTATCCCAAGAATGTGTATTAGTGCTGATAATCAGTCAGTGAATCCTGAACAGCGCTTTCCTTAATTGATGTTGGCTTCTTACGCTGGTTTATTCTGAGCCGAGGACTCAATGGAATGACACCGCAGCTGTAGCTAGTCAGGTCGCATCCTTCAAGCGCACAGCTGCTCTCCACGTTAAATTATGCTGTTTCACAGTCTTCGTTTTCCATAGAGACAAGCTGTATGATAGCAAGGAAGGATACCTGCTAGTGTGATACGCCGTTGAATTTCGGATCAAGGCAGGGAGTTCTGTCCATTATTGCGAAGCCGTTGTCACTGAGAGACATGCAGACTGTCATATCTCACTCTTACTCATTGTGTTCATCCTCCCTCTCTCTCTCTTTCTCTCTCTCTCTCTCTCTCTCTCTCTCTCTTCTTTTATCTGTTCCTCCTGGTTCTCAGACATCAGATATATTTGCAATGATAGAGCGAATGCAGGTGAGAAGCCCACATTTTCATTGCTTTACCTCACATCTCTTGCATTTTTTGACCTTTGAACTTTAACTTGCAGTATGGTGACACCTTCCCCGTTTTTGCTTTAACATTACTGTTTACCTGTAGTTTATATGCTGAGGTTTGCTTTAAATGTCACTCATTCTGTATTTACATTAACATTTAACTCTTAAATCTGTCTGTCAGCTCTCAAAAATTAAAATATAAGCTAGAAATATATTCTACGCATGTATGCCAATATGTGTTTAATGCATTTTAATGTCTGTCACACTTGGTTATTTCTTCATGATGTGAAGCATCTTAAGATGTTGATATGAATTTTAATACCAAGTCTTAAAATAACATAAAATATAATAAATGGATGTGAGGCTCATTCTGAAAACGTAGCCCTATATACATTTCTGGAGACCATGAATTAGCCAGAGGAACGTATGGCTGCATTTTGTCTTTCGTCTTATTGAGAGTTAAGCTCGGATTTTACTATCGAAATGCATCCTGCTTTTCTCTTAAAGCTCGCAAACATTTGGTGTCTGCAACATTTTTACCCTTGATTGACTATGGTGATGTTTTATATATGCATGCTTCAAAGAAATGTCTTCAGCCTTTAAACTCCATCTATCACAGTGCTCTAAGGTTCTACAGGCTGTCAAAGACTTACTCACCATTGTGAACTGTATGCCAAAGCTGAGTGGCCTTCTCTGTATGTAAGAAGGTACACCCATTGGATGACTCTGGTCTACAAGGCTCTTCTGGAACTGATGCCTTCATACCTATGTTCCCTTCTCCAGAAGTCTAAAAGCCAGTATGCCCTACGCTCAAGTGAAGTTTATCATTTGACTGTTCCCCGGGTTCGAACTGAAATAGGGAAGCGAGCCTTTAGTCATGCCGCCCCCTCATCCTGGAATACTCTTCAGTCTGAACTAAAGATATCTGAGCTCATCCCAATGACATCGTTTCGCTCTATCCTTTTAACAAACAACAACAGTCCGTTTCTCAATGAATGTGTTTTTAATATATTGAAATGTGGTAAAGCTGGAAAACTAAACTGTATTTTTATATTATGTCAATTTTATATTTATCACTAATATTATTACATTTTTATTTTTTATTTATTTTTATTTTTTATATAAATCGTGTGTTGCAGACCTCTTGGCCAGGTCACCCTTGTAAATGAGATCTTGATCTCAATGGCTTTTTATCTGGTTAAATAAAGAAACATACATAAAATAAACGCTACGGGGCGCAGAAAGGAGTTGACAGTCATGAGGGGTTTGAGTCCGGTGAAGAATGGTCCCAGAAAGCAGAGAAGACAAAAAGAGAAGCTAAAAAAAATCAAATAATCAAGTAAATAACAGGGTAATGCTTTGTTCAGACAGGATGTGGAACACACAAATAAATCACGCATGTATGAATAGATGCTTGAGTTTACTCTCTTAATTTGTGCGTTAAAATCCCCTCACAATAGACACAGATTCAGGTGCTGGGCAGAGATTGTGTCTGCCCGGTGACTCTAGCTTTGTTGCTAAATAGCTAGCATGAATTTTATTGAGAGAATAGCTGTGTTTATGTGCTTTAGGAAGGCTAAAAAACGATGTCGATTCGTTCGGCGCAGTGTCTGAGTCCACTAGATCCTTTCAGAGGAGCACCTATAGCTCTGTGAGTTCATCAACTCCTCCAGAAACTATAACTGGATGATGGAGGCTTTTAGCGGGGCTTCAGTCTGAGCTGAGCCCAGTTTGATGAACTGTTCTCTGGTGTTGGCAATAGGATTTCCCCTCAGGAATCCAACAACAGGTACTGTCATAATCACTCCCCTACAAGAGCAAGCTCATGATTGGTTAACGTGGCGCGAATGTCCGCTGAAGTTTAGATTATCCAACTTGAGTGATTTGCATGAAACGTGTGTTAAGCGCGTCAGACTCACAAAACATTCAACTTGCGCCACTTCATTTGCACCGACTCATTCGCGTAAAATGCGCTACAGAATGCCTATTCGCATCTTTGCATTGACTTAACAGATACGCTTCATGACGCTTCATCTGCGTCTGGTGTGAACACAGCATTAGAATGTTGTAAAATTTGAAAATGTGGTAAAAATCAGGCGAGGGGTTTTCTTTTTCTGGATTGCTTTTTAAAACTGTCGGTTGGGTTTAGGGAAGTGCGTGTGCCGGTCAATCTGTGCTTTTGAAAAACACTATTGCTTGGGTTAAGGAAGGTGGAGGGTGGGTCAGTAAGTCGACAGCGGCTTCTGGTGGATTTACGGGAGAACAGCAGGCGCCAATGGCACTGGTGAGACAAACTTAAGATCTCAAAAAGTGTACACAGCGCCCTCTGGTGGATTCACGAAAACAAAAACAGCAAAAAACGTAGCTACTGGGATGTATTTATCACTCTCCAGAAATGTGTATATAGGGGTACATTTTCAGAATGAGCCTGGATTGATATTAATTGAACACTTTTATGGTATATTTAAATTGCCTAAACTTGTAAACTTTAAAGTTTAAATGTGAATCTTGTGTACTTTGCATACTTGAGTAGCATGTATTACTAGCTAGATTATGTAGTCTACATATTTTTAAAAAATTATAATATAATGAAAATGTACTATTTATATTTAAAAGAGATAGTTCACCCAAAAATGAACTTTTGATTTAAAACGTTTAAGAATTTCTTGTTGAACATGCTGTAAAAGATGTTTTGAAGAATGTTAGAAACCAGTAATCATTGACTTCCATAGTAGGATAAACAAATACTCTGGCAATCAATCGTTACATTGATACAAAACATCATTCAACAACATTTTTCAAAACATCCTTTATGTTCAACAGCAAAAAAGGATCTCAAGCAGGTTATAACAAGTGAGTAAAGATAGAATTTTCAGTTTTGGGTGTACTGTCCCTTTAAGAAAATGTGTTATTCAATTGACGAATTCCAATTTCTGGCATTTAATAATCTATCATTAAATGTTGTTGTTCTATGTTTTTAAAGAACTGCATGTATTAAATGTCCTCTCTTTTTTGAAAATGCAGAGCAGTAGAATGGATGAGCAGCGGTGCTCTCTTCCACCTCCTCTCAAAGTAAGTGTGTGTATTTAGAGCCACACTCTCACACAAACAAGCATCAAGTGTTGCAGCCATTATGAACCTTTCTCACAGCCTCTGCCATCAGCGTTGTGTTCGTCACATGTGCACAGAAATGCACAATGTAGCTTTTATTCTCTGACAAATACTTTCACATTAACCCTCATTCTCATAGCTTTAAGGTTCAGGGAAGCCTCATTGCCTGAGGATGTTGACAATTTAATGCATCATCTGGGTGCTTTTGTTCCAAATGGTTGGCAGCATAATTATGGTACTTTAATGCTATTAAGATACCTTTTGGCAGATTATTATGTGTATATGCAGATGCTTCCGCAGCATTCAAACGCTTCTTCTCTTCAGTTTTTGCTTTCTGTCTAGTTGTTTATTGAGCTGTGTGAGCGACCCCATTGGCTACAGTCATAAACAAACTTTACAATTTTATCTGTTTTCTGATATAATGAAAGGGATCAAATATTCAACACAAAATATGAATGCCCATATGTCTATGTTTATCATGGTTTGGGGTACAATCAGTATGGGGGCGTGTGAGAAATCTGCAGAGTCGATGGCAACATTAACAGCCTGAGGTATCAAGACATTTGTGCTGCCCATGGCAAATTCTTCAGCAGGATAGCACTCCTCATACTTCAGCCTCCACATCAAAGTTCCTGAAAGCAAAGAAGGTCAAGGTGCTCCAGGATTGGCCAGCCCAGTCACCAGAAGTGAACATTATTGAGCATGTCTGGGGTGAGATGAAGGAGGAGGCATTGAAGATGAATCCAAAGAATCTTGATGAACTCTGGGAGTCCTGCAAGGATGCTTTCTTTGCCATTCTAGTTGACTTTATTAATAAGTTATTTGAGTCATTGCGGAGATGCACTGCACTGCACCATGACTTTATATTCTATACTGTACATCAGGGGTCCCAAACTCGCGGCCCGCGGGCCATTTGCGGCCCTCAGTGCAATATTTTGTGGCCCGCGCCGACCGCTGTACACTGACAGAATCAGCGGAACGGGGAGAGAGAGCGCTCCCCGCTCCGCTGATTCTATCCGTACACATCGGTCACTGGCATTCCCCGCCCGCCGTGTAAACAAAGGGGCGGGGATGCCGGTGACGTCAACACGCACCCCGCCCCTTTGTTAGACGCTGTGATGGGCGGGAAGTGTTAGGATGGAACTCGCGCTGGCCAGAACCAAGCTGTTCCCGCCCCTGCCTGCCCCTTAGCTACCTATCTGCAGCCTGCCACCTACCTAGCTACAGCCTGCATCTTATATATATTATAGGTAGATACAGACTGGTACAGACTGATGTGACTGGAATGGGGTGGGGGTGTTTTATTTATACATATATACACCTTTTTTTAGGTGAGGGAATGGAAGTTTTGAGTGAGTTCCCCCACTTTTTCCCCCACTTGAAGCGCTGTCAAGTCTCTGGCAGCAAGAAGTAGACAAAAGATGCCATGTTCAGAAGAACTGTTCATAATCTTCACTCAATGTTCTATTAATGTTCAGGACACTTCATGTTCAGAAGAAATAATTAAAACTGTTAATAATGACATTTGAGGACTTTTTTTTTGTGAAATCCCTTATGCGGCCCAGCCTCACCCAGACTTTGCCTCCTGCGGCCCCTTGGTAAATTGAGTTTGAGACCCCTGCTGTACATTATTTTTGTCTAGACCTTACTGTCCTAATTAAATAATTAAAAATGAAGGCCTAATCATATTTGATTTTTGTAAACTAAGTGTAATCTAGAGGCCTTTGCCTTTCATATAAGCCATTTCTGATACCAAATGATCAACTAGAAGTCAAGTTAATACTTGTTGTTCCTAAAACTTATATAGGCGACAAGACTTTTGTCAGGTAGTGTAAAAGTAAAAATGAATTGATTTTATTTATTATAATTGCACAACATAAGAGCAGTCTGCAGAAACTGTTTGGTTGAAACTCAACCAGAAGTGTAAAGCCTTTACAGTCATCCCATTATTTTAGTCTTGTTTTTGAATCTGCCACTATGCTGACACATAGGCATTTGTAGCTCCACCTTCTTTTGAAAAGAGCACAATCTCATTTGAATTTAAAGCGACAGTCATCAAAACAGCACAATCAGGATCAAAGCCTAAAAGAGGCAGTTGCAAAAAGTTATAAAACATTATTTGTGCGGTATTTTACACTATAGGGACATCAGAGACTTATTTTATATCTTGCTAAAAGATGCATAATAGATCGATACAGCAAACGTAGCCTTGTTCAAATAGTCTTTAGATAGCTGCACATTGCATTAATATCACACACACAAAAAAAAGGTCGTGTTTATGACTACTCAAGGTATTGCATGGCAGATAAGCAGTTTGTATGCATGAATAATATGATGTTGTTTACTATGAAACAATGCAGAGGAAGTAATTTGAACCGTGTCTTGGCTGGCCAAAATCTGCAATCCAATTGCCAGCTCCTCTAAATCTTGCACCATTTGCTTAAATTTGCATTAAATTCAGTGATTGCAGAAAGGTACAATTCTGGAGCTGCCTCTTTTTCCATTTATTATAGGTCATGGAAATTCATCTTTTTTTAGTCAGGGAAAGTCAGTGAATTTGACATTTGGCTTAGAGTGGCAACCCTGAGAAGCACAGTATGCAATTAAGGCCTGCATAAAACATGTGATTTGATGCTCTCACTGCAGGTATTGTGAATATTGTTTACACTTGGGGGTTTGTATGGAATCATGAGGTCTGGAGCTTTGCGTTAAAGGGCTTTTACTCTTTATGCATGTACATATTTCTTTCATCTGCGTCATAGGGTGACCTGAATGAACCTAATCTCTCCTTGTTCCTCCACAGACAGAGGAAGACTACATTCCATATCCCAGCGTCCATGAGGTTGTGCACTTTGATTTTTATGTGTGATTATGAGTGTGTTTTTGTTGTTGATGTTGCGCTGGTTGTAAATCTGTTATTGTGTTGTTGGTGTGTTGGCAGGTATTGGGGCGCACAGGCACTTTACCCCTGATCCTGCTGCCTCAGTTTGGGGGTTACTGGATTGAAGGAACCAATCATGATTTAGGCTCCTCCTCCACACCTGAGGAACCGCCCCCTTGTCCTGCATCACAGGTTAAACTGGAGACCAACAGCATAGCCAAGATCTACAGGAAAGACTTTCTGGGGAAGGTGAAATACCCTCTATTCATCCATCTGTCTGTCCATCTATCTATTTAAAAATCTGTAAAATGGATCCATCCATCCGTCTGTTGATCCATCTATCCAATTAGCTGTCTCTGTTCATTTATACATCCATCCATTCATCCATCCATCCATCCATCCATCTATTCATCTGTCTGCCTTGTATTTCTTTCTGTTTGTCAGTTTATCTATCATCCATCCATCCATCCATTCATCCAACTTAGTCCATCCAATAGTCTGTCAGTCTATTCATCCATCTGTTATATATATATCTGACCATACCTTTCTGTTTCTCCCCATCGATCCATCCATCCATCCATCCATCCATCCATCCATTCCTCCTCCTATCTGTTCATCTAATTTTCTGTTTGTCAATTCATTCATCCATCTGTTTATCCATCTATCAATCTTATTATCAGTCCATCCAATTTACTGTTTGTCAATTCATTCATCCACCTGTTTGTTCGTCCATCCATCTGTTTATTTATTTATTCATGTATCTGTTAACCCATACATCCTTCCAACTGTCTATCTGTCTATCTATTCATTAATTCATCCATCCATTATCTGCATGTCTGACCATCCTTTTCTGTCTTTCTCTTCATACATCCATCCCTCCATCTGTTTATCCATCCATTCATCCATCCATTTTCTGTATGTCTGATCATCCCTTTTTCTACATCCATCCATCCATCCATCCAACTATCAGCCCGTCCATTTATCTGTTTATCCATTCGTTTATTCATCTGTTTATCCATCCATCCATCCTTCATTCCTTCAACTATCTAAATGTCTGACAATCCTGTCTTTCTCTCTGTCCTTTCATCCATCAATATTTCCATCTCTCCATCCATTCATCCACTCATCTATCTAACCATTCCCATATTTTTTATCTACCCTTCCGTTAATCATCAGTCCAAAAGCTTCAGATGCTTTATTAATGTGAGGTAACGTAAAGAGTGTGCTTTTTCATCTGGTTTTTCATGTGTTTATAACTCGCCCCACAGGAGCACTTTAATTATTACTCAGTGGACAGTGCTCTGGGACACCTGATCTTTTCCATGAAGTATGATGTGATTGGAGACCAGGAGCACCTTCGACTGCTGCTCAGGTACTTCAAGTTCAGATGGAAAATGTATTGCTTTTATGTTTTGATTTCCAAGGTTCATTATTTATTTTATTTAGTTTCATCCAAAATATCAAAGGCAATGTTTGATTTTTATGAAGTAATATCACAATATTTTTTTACACAAAATCTAAGAATTTTCAAATGTAAACCTGCTTTTTTTAATGTAGCTTTCTTAGATTCAGTTTAAAGTTCGGTATCCTTTTTGCTACATCATTTTAAACCCATTTAGTGAGTTGTAATTCAAAAATAAATCTTAATTCACTTTAAAATGGCACACAGCCCTGTTGAAGACACTTTTTTCCGTTTTTATGCTGTTTCACATTCACTCGCTCCAGTCGCATATTCTCTCGTTGTTCATTTTCAAAGCTGGTCTGACTTAAGTGCTCAAAATATGCAGCAGGAACACAAGGGCACATCCATTCTTTATAACCACGACCCGTCTTGAGGCCCTTTAATGATGAAGACGGGAACAAGAGACCGTGTTGATGTCAGAGAGGTTGATCTATAAAGCCTCTCTTTGAAAACAGGAGCTCTTCGGGGACTCTTTGAATGTTACTTGTCGGCTGAAAGATAATTGACAAGGGCACCTGTGAATGCTGGGGTGAATCACATAGATATTTTATTGATGGCTGAGCTATCATTCATTTCTCTCTCTTTATATACTGTATGTCCAGGACTTTGTCCATTCCTGCTAAATATAGCAAAGACATTGATGGGTTTAGAAGATGCATTTGTGACCAAGTGTCCAAAGGGACACGTTAGTTTCAGATCAGTCAGCAAATAATGTGTTTTTTGAGTCTGGCTTGATTATATTTGGTTGTGATTCTTTTAATTCCAGGTCAAGGTTTAAAACTTACCACGATGTGATACCAATTTCTTGTCTGACTGAGTTCCCTAACGTCATCCAGATGGCAAAGGTAAGACAAAAAGAAAATACTCAATTCAGATTTAGATATATATATTTACAAGTACATTTATTCATTTGAAATGCGCTTTTATCTAACTAATAAATGAATATTGGGGGCCGACACGGTGGCTCAATGGTTAGCATTGTTGCCCCACAGCGAGGAGGAGGCTGATTCATGTCCCGACTGGGTCAGTTGGCATTTCTGTGTGGAGTTTGCATGTTCTGCCCATGTTCACGTGGGTTTCCTCTCCCACTTTGAATGATAACACTTGATTAAATGGGCGTTATCAGTGATTATAAGCTGATAGATATGGGCCAATAGGGGCCTTTTGCACCTACTGGTAGGCTCAGAAGGCTGTTATCATCTATGATACCCTCACATGGTTAATCTGCTATACTAACAGAGAAGACTCCAGATTCAGATCTGTTTTAACATTACTGTGACGGTTGGGTTTAGGGCTGGGATAGAGGTAGACATTAGTAAAATACAATGGGAAATTTAATAAATAATATAAATAATTCTCGTTAACTTTGTGGATAGATGATAACAGCTTTCTGAACCTATCTGTAAGGCCCTTACTGGCCCATATCTACCACTGAGAACACCCATTCAATCGAGTGATAACATTAAAATCGTTTTAATTTTAATTAAAATTAAAATTTCCTGGTTTCCTTGGTTTCCAAAGACCTGCGCTGTAGGTGAATTGAATAAACTAAATTGTCCATAGTGTATGTGATTAAATGAGTGTGTATGGATGTTTCCCAGTACTGGGTTGCAGCTGGAGGGGCATGCGCTGCGTAAATCATATGCTGGATAAGTTGGCAGTTCATTCCGTTGTGGCGACCACTGATGAATAAAGGGACTAAGCTGAAGAAAAAATGAATATAATTGATCAAATAAAAAAGTGTTAATATATAACAACTATTCAAAAATCACTTTTAAAAATGCTAAAAAAAAATTATAGTAATTTATTTAGGCCTAATAATTATGAATTATTTGTGTTTAAAAGTAATTTGGTGTGTGTGTATATAAACATTTTTAATAAATATAAATATATTTTGTATTAATTAATCAATTAAACGATATGAATTTTATATTCAATATTTGTATTAATGTTGTTAAATTGTAGTATAATATAAATGTTTTATATGACATTTTTTTATATTGTTATTGGGTAACACTTTATTTTGATTTGGAGACTGTCTGCTTAATTTCTATTAATACTGCTTCTAAACAGACATTTAACTGACTAAAAGAAACTTTGCAAATACATGGTCAACTTATACTAACCCTAACCCCAACTTAACAGTCCAACAGATGCAATATAACTAAATTCAACAAACGGACCATCAAAATAAAGTGTGACCTGTTATGGATATTGGTTTAAATCAGGCATTTATTATTATTCATAATTCATTCATTCATTTTCCTTCTGCTTAGTCCTTTTATTCATCAGGGGTTGCCACAGTAGAATGAACCACCAACTTATCCTGCATATGTTTTACACAGCGGATGCTGATACACACTCATTCACACACATTCAATACGGACAATTTAGCTTATTCAATTGCCCTGTATTGCATGTCTTTGGACTGTGGAGGAAACCCGAGCACCCAAAGGAAACCCTCACCAACAGGGAGAGAACATGCAAACTCCACACAGAAATGGCAACTGACCCAGCCAGGACTCGAAGCAGCGAATTTCTTGCTGTCAGCCAACTGTGAGCCACCATGTCGCCCATTTATTTATTTATTTATTTATTTATTTATTTAGTCATTACAGATGTTTTAATTAATTTAAATTACTCATCAATTCATTAGCTGCACGTATCAGTGTTTTCTCAAAAAAATCCAGAAAATTAAACGTTGCAAAAATGACTTTGAAGTTAATTTATTTTTATCTCAATGAAAGCATATCTAAAATGATGATTAAATGTGTTTTATATTAATATCTCTCTCCTTTTAATAATTCATTTTTACCAAATTAACATTTTAAATAGCCTTAGAAATGAGATAAAGAAAATCATTTAATTAGAAATATGTAAATAATAAAAGGTGATGCAGTGGCGCAGTAGGTAATGCCCCGGCCTCACAGCAAGAAGATCGCTGGGTCAGTTGGTGTTTCTATATGGAGTTTGCATGTTCTCCCTACATTCATGTGGGCTTCCTCCAAATGCCCCGGTTTCCCACCAGTCCAAAACATGCGGTACAGGTAAATTGGGTGGGTTAGATTGTCCGTAGAGATGGGTTGTGGTTGGAAGAGCATTCGCTGCGTATAACATGTGCTGGATATGTTGGCAGTTCATTCCGCTGTGGCAAACAAAAAAATTAATAAAGGGACTAAGTCGAAAAGAAAATGAATGAATGAATGAATAAATGATTTCAATCCATCTTTTTTTTTCTTTAGCTTGTCTGTGAAGAGGTGAATGTGGACAGATTTTATCCTGTCTTATATCCAAAGGTAAGCTGAAGCAATTACATCAAAAACAAATGAACAAGTAATTTTCAGCCTCTGACCTTCATCTGTAACCCTGTTTCAAGGCTTCGAGACTCATCGTGACCTTCGATGAGCACGTCATCAGCAACAACTTCAAGTTTGGAGTTATTTACCAGAAGTTTGCCCAGGTTAGTGTTGTTATGCTTTTCTTTTACTATATAATATAATCTGAATTTTTTTCTTGCATAAGGGACAAAATCTAGCAAACATACTTTAAAAAGGGTTTCATTTTACACTGACCTTATTCAGCTCCAAGACAGTCTGATGTACAAATAAATGTTTATATTTACTTTATTTAAAATTTGTGACTTTAATTCAACGGTTAGACTTTAATAGTGTACATTCATAACACATGACTAATTGTTGAATCACCATGCTTCATTTATTGAACACATTGACTCTTCTGCAGACATCAGAAGAGGAGCTGTTCGGAAATAACGAGGAAAGTCCAGCTTTTGTTGAGTTTCTGGAGTTCCTGGGAGAGAAGATTGATCTTCATGATTTTAAAGGGTACAGACGTCAGTTATTTCACATGGTTCACAAAACAGGACTTTCTGTTCAACCACACACAGCACATTTTTGAGTCTTTGTAGAGGTTTCAGTAGAAAACATATCATATTATAATCTGCTACAATCTGACATCATACATCACTGCTTCTGGGTCCCATCGCTTTGTCAGATTGCCAAAAGCAAACGTTTTTCATTTTCCTTCAGCTTTGTTCCTTTATTTACACAGCAGATGCCCTTTCAGCTGCAACCCAGCACTGGGAAAAATCCATACACACTTATTCACACACATACAGTACGGCCAATTTAGTTTATTCAATTTACCTGTACCACATGTCTTTAGACTTGTGGAGGAAACCAGAACACATGGCGAACATGCAAACTCCACACAGAAATGCCAACTCACCCAGTCGTGAGTTGAAGCAGTGACGTTCTTGCTGTGAGGTGACAGTGCTAACCACTGAGCCACAGTGTAGCCCCCAAAAGCATCCAACATATATTTATTTTTACATTAAAATATAATAGGCCTAGTATAATATTTAATTTTACTTGAAAATACAAAAGATTTTGTGGTATAGTTTTTTTTTAAGGTGCTTTATTATATTTTAAATGTTACAATCACAACGATCCTGCTTCAACAAGATGTTTTTGTTTATGTGAAATATACTTCATTCTCAAATTATACCTTGTTTATGTTTTATTCAAATAAATAATTGTATACTTTTTTCTGGGTGGGGGTGGTTTTCTGCGCTCTTTGCAATATCGATGCTGAAACAATATATTGAGCATTCCTAAATGGTATTGATAAATGTTACAGCATGCTGTGACAGTAATTGAAAATATTAAGCATTTTGAAAATTATGATTGTAATATTTATATACCCATGCCAAATATCAAATGGTCAGACTGTGATTCATATTTTATAATTGTTTAAGTATTGGTGGATGCAGCAAAACTGTATGATTCTGTAAAAGATTCAGTTTAATGTGTCATTTTATTAATCAGCTATTGAGATTTAACAAGCAGATTGCTTTTTATGAAATTGGGTGTCTGGTTTATTGGAATATTTGAGGTTGAACAGATGAATGAAGGCATTTTGTTTTTATGATACAGTTTTCGTGGTGGCCTGGATGTGACACATGGCCAGACAGGAACCGAGTCGGTGTATGTTAACTTTCACAATAAAGAGATCATGTTCCACGTGTCCACCAAACTGCCCTACACTGAAGGAGATTCACAGCAGGTAAGACCGAAATTTTTGTATAATATATATTTTTTGCATTCAAATTCGAAACAGTTGTTATGCTCGCAAACCTTGCACACAGACTTTAATGCATATTAACTAATCCATTGCAAAATAATTCACAGAATGATACAAAATGGAGTCTTTAAGTAGTGGAGATGATTTTGTTGTCTTCTCCTTGCTTAACAAAAAAAAAAGAAAGTGGAAATATGTGGTCTATCCCATGCTTAGATTGCAGAGAGAGGAAGCCAAGTTCCACCTCTTTATTAAAGAGCTGCAGGATTATCCCGACCCGGTCAAAATTTATTTCAGGATGTCAGTTGCTCAGTTTAATACTTTGCTAGCACATATTAAAAAAAGACCACCAATTTCCCTGAACCAAATGATCCCGAATAGAGACTGGCAGTTAGTTTAATCTACGGAGACGCAGATATACTAACATACAATAAATCACAAAACATTTGGATTATATGCTTATCATAAAGGGTTTTTTATTGCGAGACCAAGTGGATTAGTTTTTCCGACCCAATTTGGATGTTGAAAACACCTCTCAAAATACCTTTTCATATACAAAAAAAAGGAAACATCAAACCCGCACAGTGGCTCAGTGGTAAGCACTGTCGCCTCAGAGTAAGAAGGCCACTGGTTCGAGTCCCGGCTGGGCAAGTTGGCATTTCTGTGTGGAGTTTGCATATCCTTTTCATGTTGGCGTGGGTTTCCTTTGGGTGCTACGGTTTCCCGCAGAGTCTAAAGACATGTACTATGGGTGGATTGAGCAAACAAAATTGTCCGTAGTGTACTGTATGTGTGTGTGAATGTGAGGGTGTATGGGTGTTTCCTAGTACTGGTTTGCAGCTGGAAGGGGATCCGCTGTGTAAAACATATCCCTCATATATAAGGGACTAAGCCGAAGGAAAATTTATGAATAATAATTTGCAAAACGATACAAAATGAAGTCTTCGAGTAATGAAAAGATGATTTTGTTGTCTTGTCATGGAAATATTGGGTCCATCCCATTCTTAGATTGCAGAGAGAGGAAGCCGAGTTCCACTGCTTTATAAAAGAGCTGTGGGATTATCCCAACCTAGTCAGAATTTACTTCAGGATTTCTGTTGCTCAGTTTGATACTTCGCTAGCAATAATGGAAGCACAATAAAAGGAAGACCACCAATTTTTTTTCACCAATTGATTCACAACAGAGACTGGCAGTTTATCTAAGCTACGGAGACACAGATGGACAAGCAAACAGACACACAGTGTGCGCACACACCAAACTGTGCTGACAAACTAACATACAATAAACCACATAACATTTGAATTATATGCTTATCATGAAGGACTTTGTGTTGCAAGACCAAGTGGATTAGTTTCTGCGACTCCATTTTGGATGTTGCCTTTCACTTGTACGGCGGCCCTAAATTGTCAAATCACCTCTCAAAATGGCTTTTCGGATGCAAAAAATGGAAAAATCAAACCTGATTAGATTTTTCTTATGCTGGATAAAAACTACAGAGGTAGTGTGCCAATACAATTGACACAACATGAGGTAATACCTTACAACAATGATACCTCACTTTACGGTAAGGTATCATTATGGCTTGTTTCCACTGAGCGGTTCACTAAAGTATGATACTCATTCATTTCCATTTTCACTGTCAGAAGTACCAAAATAGTGAACAGTAGAGTACCGCTTTTTTGGGACCCTTTTAAATGGTACTAATATAATGGTAACAATCTCAGATGCTGTTTTATACCACAGTCAGTGTCAGTTTTGGGATATTACAGTAGCCTCTCAGTAAAGCTTGGCCACTGCTGACCAACAGCATGCTCTGTTAATTAGAGAGCAAACCACACCGTGCAAACGACTGATCCTCAAAGCCATCTGTTATCATGAGCGTTTGCTGAGCTCAGAGAGAAAACATCACCTGCGGGTTTCAGCACAGACTGAGTGAAACAACAGCGGTCACTAAAGCACACCCTTTGCAGTATGGCCTTTCACAGGCCACAGAGAACATATGGGTGCAGATTTATCTTCTGCTGCTTTTAAAGTCCGTCACAGATCAAATTTGAAATATTTGTTCGAATATATTAGTCCTAAGATTATCTATAAGTTACCCTGCTCGAAACAAAATCAATTACAAGTTGTCAACAAGTTACGCCCCCTTCATGTTACGCCTCTGTCTTGCAGTCCGCAGACGACCCTACTCTTTGAAACAGTGGGTCATTTTATGAAGCAGTTTGTTCAGTTGTTTCTCTCATCACTATCCTGACTGGCAGAGCTGTGATATAAACAAAAGCCTATTGGTTGCTATTAAAGATAGGAGGAGCTACTCAATATTTCCTGCCCTGTCGAAATTACGTCGCAAATGAAACAAAGATGTGCATTTCAGGTTATTTCAGGGAATCTTTAATCGCTTTAGTATGAGATACATGATGCTTTATAGAGACATGCTAATGGTCTGCAGACTGGCACACACAAATTTGTTTTAGCCTTAAAATGATTTGCTTCAATCTAAAAACATTGTTTTCGCTGTGATGTTTGCCAAAGGGCTGCAATCATCTTTCAGCATGTCTGATGAATTTCCTGAACACTTTGATGAGGGAGACAAGCAGTTTTCTTTTGAACTGGTGAATGTCTATGAACTAGTTTTCTGTTTTGACAGTGCTCTCTAATACGTATTTATGAGCAAGCTGTGAAGACGAGCGAACGCACTGAGGAAAGCTAATCGGATAAACCTTTGAAGCTTTATTGGAGATAAATCTGACACCCTGCTGAATGCTAATACTCTTTGTTGCGATGTTAAATCAAGTATAAATTTAATTATTGTTCTTAAATTCGAGGCTTAGACATAATTGGTGTAATAAAACACAAATGGGCTGGCGGTGTGCGTACTGTATAATATTAGGATCCAATATTGTACTTTTGGGGAAAATCTCACAAAACATAGCAAGGGCAGACCAAGTCGTATTTGACCACAAAATTAAATAAAAACTCAACAGGTTAACATTTTTTTTATTATTTCATTCTGTATCTATTGTTTTTTTTTTTTTTTTTCTTGACCGATTCCCCATTTATGGTGTATGACCTGAGCAAATGTTATTGCTTACTAACACTAATAACCAATGTTTATTTTAGCATAGCCAGCTGTAATTAAATTAAATTTAAATTTTCTTTATGTTTAATTTTTTTTTATTTAAATAGTTTTTATTAATTTACAAAAATATGGAAAAACATGGGTAAATTGTTGTAAGATAAAAAAATAATAGCTAACTTCTTTAAATGTAATTTAACACACATAATTATAACAAAAACTATATGGCAACATTAGGCATGAGAATGGTATGAAATAAAGGCGCCATATCCAGCAAACTTCCCAGTAACCACAATAAACTAAAAAAGTTGAAAAAAAAAACACCTTATGCCTCTTCAGAGTGGCGCTGTACACATTTTTAATCTGTATATCCAGCATTTTGCATTCTGATGAGCTCTACATAGTTGTGCTTAGTAATGCATGCAGAAAACAAACTTGTACGACTGGCTTAGACTTTTTTGTGTCTCTTGTTTTCAAAATAAGAGTCCCACATACATGGTACGATGGTACGTTTTTTTAAATTTGACGTTTTAAAAAAATTAGGTAGGAAAATTGTGCCCTGTTAGCAATGCAACAGTCTTCATTGTGGTCAGATTGGCCTGTTTTTCACCAGGGTTTTACACTGGCATAATTTAAATAAAAACATGGAAACAATGCTGTTTGAGGCTCACGGTATGACCATATCCATGTACCAAACTTATTATTCGACTATGCCTATATAGGTATATCCAGGTTTTCTTTATAGGGCATCTTTAAAATTAAAGAGGTATAAAAGTGCTGATTCTTTTTTGATCATAAATTTTCAAAAAGCATGGTCAATTTACTTTAAAATTTAGGTTTCGGTTCTGGCTGGTCTGCTCAAAGAAGTGAATCTGTTGGGTTGTACAGACCTTACGGGCAGCTTCCTCTTCTTACTTTTGTTTTCTTGCTCTGACTTGATTTCAGCTCCAGAGGAAGAGGCATATAGGAAATGACATTGTGGCCATTGTGTTTCAAGAAGAAAACACACCGTTTGTACCTGATATGATTGCATCCAACTTTCTTCATGCTTATGTGGTGGTGCAGGTGGAGAACGCCTGCACTGATAACGTCCTCTATAAGGTAATTAATCCTGTTTTATTCATGCACACTAAAGTCATGCATCTTAGTCCTAAGGTTGCTTTATTTTGCCAATATAATATATGCAGGGTTACCTACAGATATGCTTTCCTGGAATCTGTCATAATGTGTTTTGTGTTATCGTAGGTGTCTGTAACAGCAAGAGACGATGTGCCTTTTTTTGGTCCAGCTCTGCCAGATCCAGCTGTCTTTAAAAAGGTACCTATTTTCACTCTGCTTTCATGTCATTTGACCAGCTCCGCATGACATCTTTGCTCTGTATTTCTGCAGAATTGAAAGTGAAATCGCTCTGATTGAAACTGAGTCGATTGAATGATGCATTGAAGTTCAATACGTCGTTCTGTGTGTCATTCCCCCACTGATGCCTATATAAGTGTTTCATCTTAATAATTATGCATTCAGATCAATACTTTTTCAACCCATGCTGTATTCATAGATCAGTTTTAATGTATTGAAATATTACTAAAATAAAATAATTAGTTAAAATTCATCATATTTAAATAACTTTTAATTGCTTTAGCTAGATTTTAGGGTAAAAATTTTTACAGAACATTTGGCTAAAAAATAAAATATTAAATGTAAAATGATAATGAGCAACATGATTAAATATAGAAGTTACTTAGTTAGATTATAGTTATATTAATGATATAATCAATAAAATAAGCAGTATTTAAAAATTCTACTGCAAATATATTTTATTTTACCATATTTTAAAGACATTTGGCGTCACATTGGTGTATACGTTGTATATTCATTAATTCTTTAATTTTCTTTTCAGCTTAGTCTCTTTATTAATCAAGGGTCGCCACAGCGTAATGAATCCTCAACTTATCCAGCATATGATTTACGCAGCAGATGCCCTTTCAGTCACAACACAACACTGGGAAACACCCATACACTCTCGCATTCACACACATACACTACGGCCAATTTGGCTTATTCAGTTCACCTATATCCCATGTCTTTAGACTCCACACAGAAATGCCAACTGACCCAGCCGAGGCTCAAACCAACGAC